GGCCCCTAGTGACATCTGTGAAAAGCTCTCGCAGGGCGTTGAGGAATTCACTGAGGGGGGTAAGGATGGAGTATGCGACCATATCGTTTTCGCATTTGGCAGCGCGCGCTAACGATCTGGCAAAACTGGCTGCTTCATCTTTAAGGGCATGAAATGTCACAAGGACCTGGTCCTCGGGCGCTGGAGATGCACATAGGAGTTCACATTGGCCTCCCAGTTATCAAAAACCTCTTAAGTTTTCCCACTATAATGTTCAAGGAACTTGACCTTCACGCGCTCTCTACATGGTCAGGCCTCTTCTTCTTTAGGGCCCGCTATCTCTGCGCCTTCAATGGCGCCTACGCAAAACTTTTGTGTGCCCTCCATAATTGTGCGCAATTCGGTGCCTACATGCATCGTCATATCCTTTGCAAAATCTTTAAAACCGGTGCGCATAGATTGCAGCGTAATATCGTGGCCCTTTAAATAGTGCAACTGTTCTTGCTGCGCCTTCAACATTACCTCTACACTCTGTGATAGTATCTCCACCTTCCTTTGGAGATCAATTTGCACTGCCAACTTCCCATGTTCTACTTCAACTGCCCTCAAATCCTCCTCCATTTTCTCGGCCGCCTCCAATCTTCTTTTCCTCTCGCGGGCAAGGCGGAGTTTCCACTCTAACTTTTTCTCCTCCTTCATCGCCTGCCGCTTCATGGGATTCTCTTCACCCTCCAATGCCCTAGCAAATTGTTCCCGCTCTGCCTGAGCGACAAACAACAATGCTTCGTCCTCCTCCCCCAGGGCCAAGTTGTTACCCACTCGTTCACCAACCTCTCCATCTTAGCTTCTGCCTCCATCTGGGCTTCTGTCTCCCTCTTCTGTTCTTCCTCTCCTTTCCAATGGTACCTCGATTTCTTCTTCCTCTGTCTCAGACTCTATTGCCGCCAATTTCTCCTCCTCTTCCTTTTTCCACTTCTGAAGCGCCTCCTCCATTTGCTTATGCTTGGCCTTTTGCTCCTATCAAGGCCAGCATCTTTGCATGCTTAGTAAGCTCCCTCTTCTCCATCCTCTCCTTCTTTTCTCTTAGCATGGCAGCGGCCCTCTCTTCTTGCTCTTTGGTGTATGGGGTGGTGCTCTTACCGCTACGCAGGTCAACCATGTTGTCAGATGTACAACCAAGTGATAGTTCCACTCCTCACCACTTAGACCTCTACCCCCTGACTAACTTAACTGACTGACTGACTCTCTAAGGACCACAGAGCCTTACCCTTCGATCCAGCCAAGTTACCATGGCCGACGGAAGCTTTCGCCACCACTGTCCTTGACAAACCAGACCCAGATGCCCTGCACCTGCGGTCAATCCCACTTGGCTTTCTCTCCAGATCAGGACCCTGTCAACTAGGGTCACTAGCCTTGACCTACGCTAAAGCTGTCACTACAGAGCTCTACTACTGATCAGGAGGCATTTAAGGAGATCCCCCATAACTCCTCAGGAATTCTTTAACGTCGCAGTCAGGACGACGCGATCAGCAGAGCTCTCTCAATACGTAGACAGCTAGTTGTGCAGCCCACAGCTCGGATTTTGGGCCTACCATGCCACACTGAGCAGCCCGCCAGTCTGTACGGGTCCTTGGGAGGGTTTGTCCTCCGGGTCAGTCAGTCGTCAGACATGGCCTTCAGCCCTACTCAGCCCGTGTGGGTTTGGTCAACGCAGCTCTACGACCTCATACACGGAGTTCCTATCACCTGGACAGAAGAGACTCAATGCAGAAAGAAGAGACATATAGACTCAGCAAGTACCATGGGGTGAGTGCACATCCATAGGGCAAGGGGATAGACTGAAGGCTTGGCGAGAGTATACCAACTCCAGCTTGGTCAATTTCGTGGTCAACAGCCCCGGTCAACGCTGGTCAACGCTTGGTCTACTCGTCGGTCAAAGCCTTGGTCAATGCCAGCCAACTCCCTGGTCAACTCTGGTCAACCCCTCAGTCAACACTCTGGTCAACTCTGGTTGACTTCTTGGTCAACACCTTGGCCAACGTTCAACTCGGCTATGGCTGCCGACCTCTTCTCTTTCACCAACCTTTACTTCTCTTCTCCTCCCTCCTTCCTTCTTTCGTCTTCTTTCTCATTTCACCCCAGCCGTGGCTTCCTTCTTCGTCGTCCCTCCTTCCTCCTCCTCGGCTTTAACTTCTTCCTTCCTCTTCGTCCCTCCCTCCTCCTTCGCCAGGTCTTCTCTCTCCTTTGTTCACTCCATGTCCGAGCTCGGCGGCTATGACAGCCACCTTCTTTCTTGGACCGCACAACAATTCTCTCTCTCTCTCTCTCTCTCTCTCTCTCTCTCTCTCTCTCTCTCTCTCTCTCTCTCTTCGTCGTTGTCTTCTTTGCAGGTACACGGCACCTTCCTTCAACGGCGCAGCTATGGCGGACTTTCTTCTTCGATGGCGCACTTCTGCTATGGCGCCCCACTGGCGCTCCCCTCCTTCCTGCTGGCAATGGCGATGGCGCATGGAATAGCGGGAACTTGCTCTGATACCAATGCAATCAGACGCGCTTTCCTCTTCTCTTCGCATACATGCAAACAGTTGGCAATTCACACTGGCGCTGTGCGCCCATACAAAACTCAGAGATAGTCAAGCCGAGAACACAGTTCAGTTACAAACTCGCTTCCAATTGGCTATGGCGCCTGAGCGCCCACACATTCTCTGTCCAACACTGTGTTCGCCCAACTGTTCACACGCACTCGACTTCGGATCTCCCTGGATATCCCACGCACATACACTCTGTAACACACACACATCAACTCACTCTGACTAACACCTATCGCTAGCTATGGCAGCTATGGCCGCCAACTAATACTATCTACAAGCAGCGATGGCTGCTCTAACTCCGCATCTGCCGACTTCGACTTCGGGCAATCTGCAGACCACCTCGCACAAGACGCTAGGACAGTGCTTCCGTTTGGCTCACGCAGGAATGAATGAATGGCTGGACGCTGCCTCTTATTTATACTTCTGTGACTCGCTGGTCTGCCCTTTTCCACCGGGCCCATGGTGCACACAGTCAGTCCCTCATGGTACTTGCTGACTGTATAAAGTGAGACTGGAACTGGGTACCACTGACTAAGCGAAGTTGGACTCACCACTTGCCCACTTGCCTCTGGTCTGCTGTGTATAACGTGAGAAGAAACTTGAAAGGCCACTCCCGGACCTTCCGGAAGTTTGCGGACTTGGCCTTTCAGGACTGTAGCAGCTACAATCTTGACCTTTCAATCTTGACCTTTCAGGACTACAACAGTGACCCCTATGCATGTATGACCCCTGCTTGGACAGGTCTAAGGTTCAAGACCCGACAACTACTCAGACCTACCACAGACAACTTTCAACTACTAACACACAGGTCACGGGTTCAAGACAGACAGGGTCGACTTGATACTTTACACGGGTAAGGTAAGGTAAGGTTAGGTTTGGGGATCGAGCCCTGGGATCCGCATCTGTGACTGCAAAGGTGAAAACCGTTTCACGTGGTATCGTGGGGAAGCAAGTGGCAATTCGCCCGCCACTTTCCATATAGGAAAGGGCCGGGCTCCGAGGATCGCGGTCGGGCGCTTGCGTGCGGATGCGGCAGCGCTGCTGGAGCTAGCGCTTCTGGGCTGCCGTGTTGGCGCTAGAGGCAAGTGTGAGCGCGCGTGCGGTCGTGCGAGAGGAAGGGTGCTGCTGAGGTCAGCGCCATGGCCAGCCCTTGTAGCCGGGCTTCGCTTGGACATAGCCAGTGGAGGTGGCGGTGGTCTTCGTGTAAGAGGGAGAAGACATGGATGTTGAAGTTGAGGGTGAGAGAGAGGGATGAGGTTGATGATGTGAGGGCACGTACCTGGTCTTGGCAATGGTCTACAAGGTCGACATCTTCATGTTGCTGCTGACGTCAACAGGATGCATTGTCAATTCGTCGGCTGCTAGTAGCTGTGTGATCGTAGTCTGGGCGCTGAGCGCCAAGTAGGAGGAAGGACTCTGGATACATATGTTTGTGGCGGCGAGAGTATGCTCTCACTGACATTCGGATTCAGTGCTTTGGTTCTCCGTTGGTGGAATACCAATGCATTTCTGCTTTTTGGACAGCGTTGGACTTGCTGGCTTTCAATGTGGTTTTACACTCTGGATTTCTGTCATTTCGCTATCGCTCATTTTCCTTGCCATTCACTCATGAAGGAAAAATCCCAGCTTGCCCTGAAGGAAATTTTGATCTCTCGCCCTTTGTTACTTCAAATTTTACGCAAGCATCGCGCTCAAGATACAAGTAGGGGCAGAAAGATCCACACTATTTGAGTAAGCGCAGAGGACCTGTTTATTTCAAGAAAGAAAGAAAAAAGACCAGGTGGAACTGGACAAGATTTAGGTCATCGCTCCTCTTCACAAGACTCTTATCTATCTGGTGCTTGCAATTGTCCGGATACATTTAAAATGGTGGACTCTGAAATTCTGAATGCACTTGGTCCCGAAGGCGCCTGGATGCATGTAGCATGTTGAGAAGTGGAGCGAGGCCCTCCATGTGATTTACCTTGTTTTTTTGTTCTTCGAGCTGGATGGAGTAACAAATGTCTTGTTTCTGGTCACTTTGGTTTTGTCATTCGCAGGCATTTAGGAGAGAAATCAAAGTTGAAGATTATCGACCAATCCGGTCATCATAGCCATCTGGAATCGTCCGGATACATTCAAAATGTTGGACTCCTCTGAATGCACTTGGCCCCGAAAGGCGCCCGGATGCATGTAGCATGTTCAGTAGTGACAAATGTCTTGTTTCTGGTCACTTTGGTTTTGTCATTTGCAAATTTTGCAGGCATTTAGGAGGGAAAACAAGTCCGGTCATAGCCATCTGGTGCTCAAAATCGTGCGGATACATTCAAAATGTTGGACTCCTCTGAATGCACTTGGTCCCGAAACGCGTCCGGATGCATGTAGCATGTTGAGTAGTGACAAATGTCTTGTATCTGGTCACTTTGGGTTTGTTATTTGCACATTTTGCAGGCATTTAGGAGGGAGAGCAAAGTTGAAGATTGTTGACCAGTCTGGCCATAGCCCTTCTGTGGAGAGTCCCCGCGAGTACAACGAGTTGATTGTGAAATTCCTTCTTGGTAAAGAGGAGCGATGGCAGCCACATCATGAAGCTTGGAAAGGGTGGGATAGCGTTGCCGACAGTCGTGGTTGTGGCCTTTCGCAAATCATAGGCGAGAGGGAGAAACGGCATCACTGCTTACGATGACGGTCTGTGACTCCTCACTTTGGACCTATGTGGCCCCATTTCTCAGGGATCGATGGAGGGCACGTGAGCTCTTGCCAGGGATCGAGGTACGTGAGCTGTTGTCAGCAGGGATTGAGGTACGTGAGCTATTGCCAGGATTTAGCTAAGCTATAGTCAGCCAGTATAAGGGGCAGGCCCTACTTGTGCGATGTTCGTGCTAGGAAAGCATAGAACCTCAAAGCATGAACCTGGACATGATAGCGTTCAGGTTCTCTGCTTTCCTAGCATGAATATAGCACAAGTGGGGCCCACCTTGAGAAGGGAAAGAAGGTGCACTGCCACCCATGAGACCCATGTTTCCTCATCCTCCACTTAACGATCGACCAGATAGATTCGGTTTTCTGTTTTTTTCGCCCTCTTCCGTGATTGGCTTCCGAATGCCGTTTTGTTGTTTTTTTTCTAGCATTGGTATGCGTCTCTCTCAGCAAATGTCAGGACGTATGGGTCCGATATGTGATGGTCCAATCCTTTCTCCACTTGAAAAGGGAAGACTGTGTAGAAGGACAGTGTAGAAACGCCTATGCTGTCATGAACTCTAGGGCTCGGAGAATTCACTGTTTTGCCAGAGAACTGCCTGTGGCAATATGTGAGGTGGGGAGTGTTGCACCGGTATACGTCTCTAGGCAGATCAGGAAATACGGGTCCGATATGTGGCTTAATCCCATCCTTTCTTCTCTTAAGAAGGGCAGTGGGAAAAACCCTGTAGAAAGTTCTAGAAGCAAATATGCTGTGGTGAACTCTAGGGCTTGGAAGATTCAGTGGTTCGCCAGAGAACTGCGTGCGGGCAGTGTGTGAGGGGATGGTGTGACTGATTTGTGAGGCGAACTTTGTCGGCGACGCACGGTCGATTGGGAAAAAGTTGAATCCTTTGGATCCATGTTCAAGTTCGAGGACGGTTGGATAGATCCGTTGGGTCAATCGGGAAGAGCATGTGAATCGATCATGCAGGGGACTACATGCTTCCATCCGTTGGATCGGCAAAAGGTTGAAGAATTGTTACGCAGGTCGCAACTCGTTGGTGGCTGTAAGAACGTTCACCGATTTCTGTGCATCCTGGTGCGCACATGATTCACCTCACCTGGTCGCTTCCGTGTCCAAGTTCACTCGAGCGGGGGGTGCTCCGGCCACCGTGAAATCATCGGTCCTTACAAAGGAAAGTTGCCCGGCAAATCGCATGCCCAATGTTTCTGTATAATCAGGAAATGTCCATTCCTATGTATGATAGGGGAACATGGACCGGGAAAAGGTTGAAGAACTGCTATGTAGGTTGCGACGTGTTGGTGGGTGCCCGACGTCGTGGTGCAAATGATGCACCTGGCCGCTTCCATGTTGAAGATCATATTCCAGCTGAGGTGTTCTGGCCGTTGTACAGTCATTGGGTCGTACGAAGGAGAGTTGTCGAACGAATCTCATGCCCCAAGCTCTGTATGGTCGGAAAATATTCAACATGTGCCAGGAGGAAAAGGAAGGATGTACTGACAAGTTGTTTGAGAGCTGTGCTGGCTGTCCACTCATCGTCGCTGATTCTGATGGGGGCATTCTGGTTGCGACGCGTTGGTGGGTGCCAGACGCCGTGGTGCAGACGATGCACCTGCCCGCTTCCGTGTTGAAGATCGCATTCCAGCCGGGACGTTCTGGCCATTGTACGGACATTGGGTCATATGAAGGAGAGTCGCCGAACAAGTCTCATGCCCCAAGCTCTGTATGATCAGAAAATATCTGTCCCTGTGTACGATTGGGGAACATGTGCCAGGAGGAAAAGGAAGGATGTACTGACAAGTTGTGTTGAGAGCTGTGCTGGCTTTCCACTCATCGTCGTTGATTCTGATGGGGGCATTCTGGTCATTGCGAAATTTCATGGACCTATATGGAGGTAATTTCCGGAAAACGAACTCTCTCAGCTGGAATTCTCCTGGACATCTTGCACTGTGTGGCAAAGGGTAGGTGCGATGATCGATGAGGAAGTAGTGGAGTGCCAGCAACGTCACATTAATATCATGTCTCCGCGACAATCCGGTTGAGAGAGGCAGGCGGGTTTGAGCAAGTGGAATGCCTACGAGAGTCGTAACAGAAGTGGTGTGTGATCAACCGAATGTCATGCTGGATTCTCCAGAATGTGCGTCAAACCACCAGTGAAAAATGCCAGTCATCAGCTGCGGGCCCCTTTCAGAGGCCGCCTGCCGTTGATTTATTGTATCGACGGCACGTGAGCCTCCTAAATTTTAGGGGAGGCTCAATCGCACCGCTCAACTTGGTTGTGGCCATGTACTGGTGGTTTAAGAAGATGTGAAATACTCAATGAGGAAGTAATGGAATGTGAGTAGGGACTTATCTCAGCGCAGACATGCAATCGGGCAACATCGCATGAATATCATGTCTCAGAACAATCCGGTCGAGAGAGGCAGGCAGGCTTGAGCGTGCAGAGAATGGCATGAGGGTAGGAGCAGCAGCGGTGAGTGTTCAGGGGTGGGAGAGGGGCAGAGGGAAGGAAGCGATGAAAGGAATATCGAACAACTCTACATGGGTGTGGTGGACCAGTATAGGGGGCAAAAACTGGCAGGTTGTGGGAAAGACCAGAGTAAGGGAATGTCGTAGGTTGTGTATCGAGGGGTTGGAAGGAGTAAGAGAGCATTTTCTAGATTTTGTCCCGTGTTGATTTACCACCTGCAAACTAATGAGCCTGATGGCGATGTACGGCCTACCGGGATGTATGGCGAGGCAATGGGGAAATCTATGGCCTCATATGGCAAGGACGCGGCGAAATCTCCTCTAGGTCCTGTCTGAGAGAACATGATCAAAGGATGGAGTGGTGGGCATGGTTGCTCTCTCTAGGGCCATTCTCAGGATGGTGTGGGAGAAATAGGGAGGGAGGGAGAGCGGCATGCAGAATCACAACCAATGAGCCT